CCAATTAACAACATATATAAGTCCTAATCGAATCGTCTTCTATAGTCTTTTCCAGCACAACCTATTGCATTTATTCCTTCTTTTAAGTAATTAGAAATTTTTTGTTTTTGTTTCTCATTTTGTCTTCCCCAAATAATTCATAAATATTTTTTGAACTTTTACCAAAAAAAAAAAAAAAGTAGTTTGAATTAATTATGAAAGAAAAGCTTTAGAATCCACACTTTATTTGCTAGACTTTTGCTTAGATTTTATGGTTTTTGTGAGTTGATTATGCAGGTGGGGATATGGATAACAGGCAGAGGTAGGGCAACGACACCAGAGAAGAGAGGTCTACTTGTGAAGAGTCGGTGGCTTAGTAGCGGGTTCACAAACATTAATTGTTAACATTGATGGAAAAAGCATGTGCGCCACTTTTGCGACATCGTCACCTTTTGGTGGCATGATTACAATCGGAGTATCTACCAAAAAAAAAATTAGTTTTCTTGATTTAATTCTCACATTTTCAAGAGTGCTAATCCTGTGGTTATGAATTTTAGAGGGAGACCAGTGATGTTTGACAGGCTGCCTAGGTTTATTGTTCATAAGCACAGTGTACCATCTGATTTTTCGAGGGTAGTTGCGGTGGTGGCACTCCCATCAAGTGCTAACCCCCACTTCCCCTTGCAGCAGTAACACCCCTATTGCCTGCACTACACTGCATGCTCGGCTCCTTCCTTTATTAATTTCTTAATTTGTTACAAATGAGTATATAGTTAAATATTTATTATTCATAATATTCATATTATATACTCTATTTTTTTTTTTTGTGGTAGAAATTTTTTTACCAACCAATTATATGAATATTGACATATATAGTTAAATATTTATTATTCATATTATATTATTTTTGCATCTAACTAATTTATAAGAGTCAATGCAGGTTACACCACTAAATTATATTCGTATTCTCTATGCTCGTAAAGTTGTACATCATGTTAAAAATATTGTACTTTATTTTTTCCAGACAAAAAATATCCATACACCGTTAAATATATCCTTTACCATATAGTGTGATGGCCATCTTAATTACCATTCCAAATGGATGGTCATATGTTCAAACCCCAGTGGTGGAGGCTTTAGATTTTTTGCCCTAAAAATGTTTGATAAAGTGTATATATATATATATATATATATATATATATGTAAATTAAATATTAAATAATAAATGAACTAACCTAATTAGCATTTTCATTTTGCATTTCCACATTTGGTAATTTGGATCCCCAATTTAGAAATCTCATTATGGTATAACATAATTACTTAAACGGGGCACCAGAATCTATTTATATTCCAAGAAATTAAAAATCCTAATTAGTTAGCATATTTGGTAATTTCGATGATGAATTTAGAAATCTCATTATGGTATAACATAATTACTTAAACCTTGCACCAGGGTTATCTATTTGTAAATACATTGATAAAAGTTTGATATATATAATAAATTATAAAAGCAGTCTGGTCTGTAGAGGTGTTACCATGAATTCAAGCAACCATGCATACAAGTGGAGGAATAAAAGTTGGTCGTCATTTTAAGTTGATGATGATGAGTGAAAGGGAGAAAAAACGGGTGATTGAAAGGAGGATGGCGGCGTTGTTAAGCAAGTGAAAGAGTTTTGTGTGTTGTGTATGTGATGTGGAGATTGGGATTGTAATGTTTAGTGCGAGTGAGGGAGGTCCTATGAATAATAATATAACGTGATAACTATAAACACATAAACACCTAAATGTGGAGGTAAACGTTTAAAAGTTTTCAAAAATTTTCACAACTTATGACCATGGTTGCAGTAGGCGCTAGGTGCTAATCGGGCGCCCGGGCAGCGCCTAGCGCCTATGCGGTCTTGGCGGCGCCTAGGCGGGCGCAAAAAAAGTAGTGGCAGACTTGCAGTCTGACAATTTTAATGAGGTTGTTTTCAAAATTCAATCAAATAACACATCCAAATAAATGAAATAATGATAATTCATAAGTCATAACATCAAAACAATATTAAAAATTAAAAATACTCAAATACTTCAATCATCCAAAGATTTAAAGTATCAAACTAGTGTATATATGTCATATTATATATATGTATGTATATATGTATACACACATACACACACACACACACGTGTATATATATATATATATATATATATATATATATATATATATATATATATATATATATATATATATATAATGAAAAAAAATTAGCAAGGCCGAGTTGATCGGGTTAATTCGACCGAAATGCACGAGTTAACTCGGATAAGATAGACGCTAGGCGGTCAAGTCGGCCGAGTTAGGCGCTAGGCGGACGCCTAGGCGGGCGCCTAGGGGAAAAATCTCCGCGGTCTAAGGGCGCCTAGCGCCTAGGCACGGCTTAGGCGGGGGCCTAGACCGATTTTTGCAACAGTGCTTATGACAAAAACTCAAAATATTCAAAATCATAAAAAAAAAATGTATGTATTTGTATGTAATAATTTAACTTTTGTGGTAGAATTTTTTTTACCAACCAATGATATATTAATGAACATAGTTAAATATTTATTATTAATAATATCCATATTATATACTGTATTTATTTTTACATCTAATAACTAGGTTATAAGAGTCAATGCATGTTACACCACTATATTATCTTCGTATTCTTTGTGCTCGTAAAGTCGTACATCATGTTAAAAATGTTGTATTTTATTTTTTCAGACAAAAAATATCTTTACAGAGTTAAATATATGTTAACTAAATATTAAATAATAACTCAATTTAATAAAATAGTAAATCAATTTAGAAAATAACAGATGATATGGAAAATCTGATCGAATTATTTTAACTGATTTAGGAAATCATATAATTGCTTTAACGGGAGCACATAATCTATATATAAATACAAAAAGCAGTCTAAGACCGGAAATCAGAGGTGTTATCAATTCAAGCAACCATGCATGCAATTGGAGGATAAAAGTTGACCATCATTTTAAACTATTTGGGGCTAGTTTACTACTCTATTGGACTTGAAAATACTTGAAAACTCCTCCCTTTATATTATGGATTGATATGATGATGATATGAGACCATATGATATTATGATGATATGAGACCGTCTGATGTTATGATGATATATGATTTTACATGGATATAATATGATATGATTATGCCGATGAGATTACACTTACTATGATATTATGCCGTTATATTTATAATAGGAAAAATATTAAATGCTTCAACCAAATTAGAAAATAAAAAAAATTACTTAAACCGGGCACCATAATCTATGTATAAATATGAAAGGCAGTTTGGTCTGCAGATCAGAGGTGTTATCAAGCATTCAAGCAATTAAGCATGCGTCGCATCAGAGAAAATCATGTCTTGATGAGTACCCTCACCGCTCGGCGGAGGCCCCCTGGCCGGAATGAACCAAGATGCAGAATCCGGCGCAGGTGGTGGTGGAGGGACGCTGCCAATGCTTGCAGCGGCCGGCGAGTCATTGTGCAGCTGCAGAAGAAATTGCTTCCTCTTCTCCAGTTCCTGCGTCTTCTCACCAGCTAACGATTAGCTATTAATTTTAGCAATTATTTGCTCAAATTCAAGCAATGATAACATCAAAACACATAAATGATCCAAAACATATATTTAATTGCAGTATATAATATTAGATTTTCTAATTTAAATAATTATATATCCATCCAAATATTCTTAATATATTACAACCAGGGACGGAGGGAGAGGGGGGCGGGGGGTGGGGGGCTGCCCCCCTCACCCCACCCCCACCCCATATATAGTATTTGTATGTATATATGTATATATAGTATATGTTTTAGTATTAGTATAAAAAAACTATAAAATATTAACAAGAAGTGAGTTAGAGTAGGTGGTAGAGCACAACTTTGGTAATAATGAGGTTAAGGGTTCCAATTAGGGCTGTTAACGAACCGAACATAAACGAACGGAGCTTGTTCGTGTTCGTTTGTTAAGGAATTTGGAGTTCGTTTGTTAAGAGTTCGTTAGTGTTCATTAACGTTCGCGAACATGTTCATTAACGTTAACAAACACGTCCGCGAACATGTTCATTAACAAGCACGTTCACGAACATATTCACTTACGTTCATGAACATGTTCGTGAACACTTAATAAACAAACACCTGCACATGTTCATGAACACAATTCGTTCGTGAACAATAAATAATCTATGTTCATGAATAGTAATCAAACAAACAACAAAACTAATACAAATAACTTAGTAAGTCCATCCGTACGTAGCATCTAATATCAAAATAAAAATCCAAGTCCACATAATTTGTCTGCTCACATTACAAGCCAAAACAGGGCCAAAACATAAAAACATAAAGCATGATATATTTATATTCTGCATCCATCATCCCAGGGCCAAAACATAAAAACATAAAGCATGATATATTTATATTCTGCATCCATCATCCCAAAAACTTAATACCTTAACTCCAAGTTCATTCCAGTGATATAGTCTTCACATCTTCAGTAAACTACATTAAATGATATATAATATATTGTTATATGACATAAAAAGTATTGAAAATAAATAATATAATAAAAGAATTGACAGTACTTACTTTTGGTTTTCTTTTCATATCATATAAGTTACGCAACCAGTCACTTCCAGAAAGTAGCATTTGGAAAGTATCGGTCCCCAAAGATGCCCGATATGTATCAATAACCCTACCACCAGCACTTGACTCTGAAGCAACCGTTGTGATTGGAATTGATAAGATTTCACATGCCATTTTGGATAATACTCTAAACTTCAAGTTCATTGACTTCCACCAATCCAATGCATTAAATTCAACCGAATCCCCTTCACAAATATATACACCCTCCTGTAAATAAGTATCCAATTCAGACTTCACATGTTGGACAATATCAACATTTCTCACAAATTTCTCAAATTTTGATCTCCCAGTTTCAACAGCCGGTCCCTTCCCTTTCCAAACAGTAGTAACACCTTGCACAGAAGTATTCCTTGCTTGAGAATCATTTTCCATTAATTGGTTTGAAGCTGTTGTATGTTTATCCAAATAGATCCTGTATAACTCATACAAAGCATCACGAACAATACCAATTTGTGTAGTAGCTTCCTTTTCAGAATAAATGACTGGAAAAGCAAATTGGATAAATGTCATCTTATTTCTAGGATCTAAAACAGCAGCAATAGAAAGTAATAGATTGCTACTACCTCAATATTTGTCAAACTTATGCTGCATCCTTTGGGCCATGTTTTTCATCCAAGGTTCTACACTTTCAGACTTTTGACCGAGAATTTCTTTGATGTTATATAGTTCAGGAAGAAACAAATTTGCTGTTGGATATTCAGAACCTATATTCAAAAAACAAATACTTTAATTATATAACAATCATATATATTGAAATATATAAAGTTTAGAACTGTATAATAAATTACCTGAGATAATTTTAGTAACTTCATTGAAATGCACCAGTAAAGAGCAAATCTCTTCAACCCTTTGCCAATCATCCTCAGAAGGCAAGCATTTGTAATTTGGATCTCGAAGTTGATACCGAGGAAATACTTGCTTGAAATCCAAAGCACAAGATAACATAGCAAATGTTGCATTCCACCTAGTGCAACAATCTAAAATCAACTTCTTGTTAGGCACTTGGAGCTGTTTGCAAATCTCATTAAAACTATGCAACCGTTGAGGTGAAGCACTAATATACTTGACACTATCTCTGACATTTTCAATGATAGACTTAATCTCAGAAAGGCCATCTTGCACAAGAATGTTCAATATGTGTGCACAACAACGAACATGAAACAACTTACCTTCTAGTGGCAAAGTTGTATGAAAAGAAAGAGAGTCATGCAACAACCTCACAGCTGAATCATTATAAGAAGCATTATCCACTGTGATTGTCCACACTTTCTCTTCAATACCCCATCCTTGCAAACATTTGTATATTGCATCACAAACACATATACCGGTATGCGGGGGAAGCACTTCAACAAAGTTTAGAACTCTTTTCTGCAACTTACTGTCCATGTCCACAAAATGAGAAGTTATCACCATGTATTGAATGTTCTGATTTGATGTCCATATGTCAGTTGTGATACTAATTTTGTCAACTGAATTCAACAATCCTTGTACTCGTTTCTTTTCTAGCTCATAAGTTGACCAACAATCTTTTGTGGTTGCTGTTCGACCAATCCGCTCATAATATGGACTTGCAGATTGCATGACTATGTTGAAGAGTTCATACTCAACAAACGAAAATGGCAATTCATGAACCATAATCATGTGAGATATAACCTCCCTCATCCTTGCTTGATCATACTTCCAACTCTGAACACCACTGACACTCTCCGATTTTTGTGTCGATGGAACCACACAAATGTTCCTTTGCCCTGAAAGATTGATTCTGCGTTTTATGCAACTGTCTAAATGTCTTTTATATTGTGTGGTCGTTCCATCCTTTTGCTTTTTCAATTTAAAGTTGCAATGATTGCATTGCACTTTTGTTTCACCACTGTCATTTCTTGCCAAATAACTGATGATTTTTCCCTTTGCTTCTTCTTATAAGGTTCGCTTTCTCCTTCCACTTCTTCAACTTCTCGCCCAATGTCCTTCTCAACATCACCTTCAAATCCAATGATTTCCACATTTGGATGATTTGGTGTTGGGTTTAGTTCTTCCATTTCAATAGGTATTGTTGAAGAACCAACACTTGGACTTAAAGGTTCATCAATTGTGTTGTAATCTTCGTAAGACATAGCTATTATACAAACAAGTAATTAAAAAAAATGTATACAATATGTTATATTCTTTCTATAATGCAAACAAAAAATTAAAAATAAAAAAGTAGAGAATAAAGAATACTACCACATTGACATAGTACAATATGTTATATTGTTCTTCTTCATCTTGTCCAGTTATCCAACCAGCTAAACAAGAAAATTCAAAGAACAAATAAACACACAAATACAATGTCAAAGTGGCATACTAGCTCTAAAGTGAATATAAACTCAATAATATTAATCTATAAAAAAAAACAAAAATTAAAAATACCGTATGTATTTTTAAAGCTTCGAGGACGATTGAAACAGCAGTCAGCAGGCAAGCAAGGAGATCTGAGGATTAAACAGTAGGATTAAACAATAGAGTAGCAGACCGTATGTTTTCAATGATTAAAAGAAACAAGAAATTTCTCTTAGGCAAGCAAGAAAAGAAACAGTATGATTAAAACAATAAACACTAATCAAGAAATGAAAAAAAAAATTCTCTATGTTTTCAATGAATTTCTCTCTGCTTTCAATTAAACAATAAACAGTAATCAAGTATACTATTTCTGCCATTTGCTCATAGGGAGGGTGAGTACTGAGTATACAAGCCGATAATTACAGAATGAAGTTAAACAATAAACAATAAACACTAATGAAGTTAAACAATAACCACTAATGAAGTATATGTTTACAGAGGTACGGTATTTACCGTCAATAGAGGCCGGAGGTGTTGGGCTGGGAAGTGGTGGCTACGGTGGTCGGCGTTGGCTAGGGTGGTAGCTACGGCAGTCGGTGTTGGCTGGGGTGGTGGTTACGGCTGACGGCGATGGCTGGGCAGCAGGGCAGGTGGCTACGAGAGACAGCGTTGGTGGAGTTGCGATGGAGTTGCGGTGGACGTGTGAGCGATGAAGGCAGAGTCACGGACTCACGGTGGAGGTGTGACTGTGTGAGCGGTGAAGGTGGAGTCGCGGTGGAGGTGTGAACGATGATGGCGGAGAAGAACGATTGAGCGGTGAAGTGTGAAGACTGAAAGTGCGAAGGATGATCTGAAGTTTGAAACGTGGAAAACCCTAGTCCCTAAATGGCTAAATAAAAGTGACTTATTTATTGTTTATTAAACAATGTTTAAGTTACCTAGCTAATTAAGTAATTAGTAATTACCCATGTCTATGTATTTGTACGTATTAAATTAATACTATTATGTGTTTGTATTAAATTAATACTACTACTAATATATATATATATATATATATATATATATATATATATATATATATATATATATACTTACTTACTTATATGTTTGTGAACATGTTCGCGAACATTATTAACGAACACAAACGAGCTTGTTCACGAACATTATTAAACGAACATAAACGAGCTTGTTCACAAACATTATTAAATGAACACAAACGAGCTTGTTCACGATCTTTTAGCAAATGAGCTTACAATTGTTCAAGCTCTGTTCGTTTATTAACCGAGCTCTAAATTTTGTTTGTTAATGTTCGTTTACCTTAACAAACGAACGCTTACCGAACACGAACACAAGTAGTTTGCCGAAAGCTCTGTTCGCTAACACCCCTAGTTCCAATCTTAGTATTAACATAGTTTTACAATTCTTTTTTAATATTACACACACTCTATAATAAGATGTGTAATTTATAATGTGTTTTCTATTCAAATTATTTTATTAATTATGTTTAATATTTTGTTATGAATATTTTTATAAAGTTTCGATGTGTTTTGTTTTTCGTCCATATCCAACAATATTTACAATTATATTTCTTAGGTAGTTTATTTATTTATTTTAAAATTATCTCTTTTGTTTTAATGTTTTGCCTTTTCTAGAAAAATTTTCTGAATCCGTCTGTACTGTTTCGCCCCCCCTCAACCGAATTTCTGGCTCCGTCCCTGATTACAACAAATTCATTTCGTGCATCGCAATTGTGAAAATTCTAGTTATGGAGGAGGTCTAGGGGTTCGGGGCCTATCCACAGTCCCGCAAGTCTGTTCTCCTAAGCTTTATTTCAATTTCTTGCAAAGTGACTCATTATGGAGTAGTTTCATGCAAAGCCGATACACTGATGATATCGAGTCTCAGACTCGCTAATATGGAGACGTATGCAGGATGTTAGGAACTTTTTCGAAGATAACATGGCTGGTGATCAGGATACCCTTGTCTGGGCTCCCTCCCACTATGGCGTTTGACATGCTTCGGCCAAGAAAGAGCTGTAGCTTATCTGCTTCCAGCATCTGGGGGAGAGGTTTTCCCTCAAAAATCTCGGTTTTCATGTGGAAGTGGTGAGCTGTCGTAGGCTCCCAAATTAAAACCTTACAAACGTAGTAGCGGGAGTAAGGATCGATCCCACGAGGAGTAACTAGTTTAACCTTTGTGCTTAAGGAAACAATGGAGGGTTTGGAATATATCGAGAATAAATATTAAATAAAAGAGAAATTAAATCGAACGAATAAACAGTGAAAATAATATATCGAAAACACTTATAATAAGAAACCTTGGTTAGTAAAGATCCACCACCTGAATTCAACACTGATCATTGATTAATAAAGTAATTAATATGCAATTGAATATTTGTCGTGAAATTATTTCATTTCTGTTTTCCCTTAGTTATAGATAAATAAAGCACAAGCGGTTTAATTACCCCTAACTACTAAATAATCTAAGACAAGCGCTATAGATTTAATTTAATAGCAGCAATAGGAACTAGGAAAACCGACAAACTAAATAACACAAGCACAAGCGGTTGCATTTAACTTAGGAAAATATTCGACCCGAGACCAATTATCACTAAGCCGTCAATAATTAACCTCAGTTGCTACTGAATATTAGAATAATTTGTAGCACAACATTAACTAATATAGCAAATAATTATATCAAATAAATAACTAGTAGGCCTCCCTAGCAATTAAATGATACAACTATTTAAATAATTTAGAAGAATATTTAATACTCAAAATGCATAAAAACATATATATAATAAAATTAAATAAATAACCTTACAGCGTTATGAACTCCGGGGCTTCAATTCACTAAACCAACTTGAAATTAGCCACAAATGGACATTGATAACAACTTCAACGAAAACTATAGAGGAGGAAAGAATGAACTAAAGAATGAACTAACAAAGAAAACTTTGCCACTATTTATACATGTCACGAATTATCGTCCACCATTCATTTTCCTATTTTTACGCCAAGCCTTGTACAACCGAGTTTTCCGCTATTTGTCCGTACGTGATCTGCGTTGCTAATGACGAAGTCTTCCTGCTCGTACGTGTGCTGCACTGCTGCGTAGGGAGAAAACAAAACAAAAACACTCTTTTGTTTAATTAGTAAAGTATTTAGCATCTTGGGCTTGAACTCATTAAATAAATAAATAAATAAATGGACCCTTATTAAACAACAACAAAAACACAACCTTTCATTTGGACTCATGAATAACATATAAAATATAAAGCCCAAGACTAAACCTAACAATTAATATAAAAAATTTATTTTATTTAATTAATTAGTAAACCCTAAAAAGAAATAATTATTATAAAATAGTAAATAATTAATATAAAAATATTAAAAAGATGTACCTAAAATAAGAGTGTAAAATATGCCTATCAAATTCCCTCACACTAAAACATTTGCTTGTCCCCAAGCAAAAAATATTATTTGCGAAGTAAATAAATAAAATCCCCAAAACTCATAACATATCATAAACAACAATTTGAAGCACCCTCCAATTAATAAGATAGCACCCCTGTCTGAAAATTGAGAAAACTAAATAAGTAAGCCCTCACAGGAATATCACTCATCACTCAAGTGTTTGATGGGTATAAATTTCACTCAAGTTCATTCCTATAAAATTGTTCTACCATATGCTTGCATATCTTCTCAATCACCACTACAAGAGTCATGCATGACACAAATCATAAGGACTTTCCACAGGTTGTAATGGGGCTAGGGTTAAGGTAGGGAATATTTAGGAAAGTAGCTTAAACAAAAGCTTTCAACCTAGAGGAGCAAATAAATACAAATAATCCAAGATACTTGCTCAACACCAAGTATAGAATGCTTCCTCAGTATTACCAGAATTTCCCCTTACTTCATTTATTTAGAAGTAACTTCAACTCAAAATCAATTGCTGATTCTTTCTCATTTTCTCATAAAATTTCAGCAATATTTTTCTTTTTCAAACATATATTCTCCATTTTTCCATTTTTTCATTTTTTCAATTTTTCAATTTCCATATTTTTTTTGGAATCATGAATTGTCTTTGTTTTCTTTTTCATAGAAGACCAGTGACAAATCGGCAATGAAGATACAGCCCACCTCATTCTCCATCATATTAACACAAGAAAGTGACCTCCCCCACACTTCTTCCTCACAACCTCACGTAGATTACACGAATAATTCAAAATTTGCTCCACTAGTTATTCAGCTGGGTGAAGGCATTATTTTTAGATATAAAAGGTTTGTAATGTGGTTCAAAATAAAGAAAAGAATGGCCATAAAGCTCAAAATGGTTAACAAGGGGAAATAAATCATAGGACAAACCGGTTATTTGGCTAGTGAGGCTCAAGATCAAATAATGGCCTTAATCACACTTGAATCATGCATGGTCTAATTAGCTTTAAAAGAGAATCAAGGCAAGTTCTAGAGAAACAAAATTATGGAAGAAATCACACAATAGAAAGAAAATAAGACCGAAGTGTCAGTCAATGGCTCAAAAC